CAGATCTTATTTCTGCAATTAGAGTATCATCAGAATTGACTGATTCAGAAGGAATTAATTTATTAAATAGTCTTGCTTGAGCTACTCATCATTCATGACAAGGGCTTTAGAATGGATAAATATTTATTGTTAACTTTTTTTCGGCAAAGATATATAATATAAAATATAAATTATTATCATGAAAGCGAAAATAATCAAAGCTAAAGTAGAGGGTCAAAAAGTTAATTGTCATTTTGAACCAGGTTTTCTTGGACTATCTATATGTACTGATAAACTCCTCAAGAGAATCGGTGATAAAATTAGCAAAAAGTTGACTCTCAAAGAAAAAGATAGTAAATTCGTTAGAGAAGAAACTACAGCCCCACTTGGGTTAGCCGTAATCTCACTTACCTTCACCTCTAATATAAAAAATAATGCTCAACTTAATAATAAAAAATTTATTACCATACCAACCGAAGTGCTAGTTGAAAAATATAACTCTAAATTACCTAATTATATATTACTTGGTAATAATTGGTTTTATGGTCACAAATATGATGATAATGAGCTTCAAATATACATACCTGAAATTGTAACCAATGTTTGGACAAGAACAACTCTCCGTATTAAAAATCTCGTCAATAAGAAAAGGAGAAGGGTTATAGTGTATGTTACTAAAAATAATGTTGATAAATTCTACGAATTCACTTCTTCTTACTCTAATTCTGATACTTCCGATATAAGTGGTTCTTCCACATCTAGTTCAGAATCGGATGATAAGCACGTGTGTAAGGCCGGTATATACCCGAAATAGTGTCGCAGGGTAAAAAAGAAAAATTAATTATCAAGTTATATAAAGCGATATCACATAATATTTTTTCGTTTAATGAATTATATTTACCTAATGTAGGAAAACAAGTCAACCTATCTATCTGCTATATTTATTTTTTTTCAGCTAGCTACATTGATTAAACAAAGATATTAATCGATATCGACATCAAATAGACCATAAGTTTCAAAATTTTTTTATACAGAATATAAAATAACTCTATTAACTTAAGAAAATTTTTATCAGGTAAAGGTGATAAAGGCTCTATTTCCTTATTCAGAATAGAACTTGTATCTTGAATATGAATTATTATTCGTGATTTAAAAAAACTCTTTCCCAAAAAATTTAATTTTATTAAAATACACAGTAAAATTATTTCGAAATTGTTTTTTATTTTTTTAGTTTTTATTTCATTAGTTTTCAGTAAACTAACTGACAAGTATGAGCAATAGCTCATTCGTTAGAACTAGAAGGAAAGGTGTCAACTATGGCACCACTTCTAGAAACTTAACACAAGATAAAAATAAATTTGATCCTATTGGCAATAAGCAAATTCTTAAAAAACAGAATACAAAAAATAAATTGAAAGAATCCTCTGAGGAAGAAAATGACGATGCTATAGCCTCGGGCAGTAATTCAATCCCCCAAGTAGTTATCTCAAATAACGAAATTACAGAAAATGAACCTGAATCATATGAACAAGTTATTGACATGGAAGAAGAAACAGATACGGGTGCGAACAACTTTCAAGTAATTGGAGGTAACCTTGAAGAATCTAAACATAATAAAGAAAGTGAATGGCAAGAAGTCAGGAGGAAGGGGAAAAATAAGGCCAAAGATAATAATAATAATAATGACGAAGAAGATAGCAAGTCAGTATCATCCTATAATTCAGATAGCGACTTCCAAACGAAATGGAGGAAAATCACTCAAACTCCCAAGTATAAAATTTGGACATATGCGACTAAGATAATGGGGAAAAACCTCGGTGATAAAATCGATAAAATTAGACAAATCTTGAAAAAAGAATCTGATGTTGTCCTGGTAAAATCTGAAATTTTTGAGAACAATAGAATGATTGCAGCCTATTATGACAACAAAGAAGAAATGGAAAAGGGAAACAAAGCTAATGTGGGCAACGATGCAGACCAGCCTACTTACATGCATAGAGCACAGATCTTTAAAAGGAATCCTGAAAGAGATCTCATGCATGGAGTCAAATTGTGGGACATACCTATACATATGACTAACAAAGAAATTAAAACTGAGTTAGAATTTAATTTTGGTATAATTGAAAGAATGAATGTAAGGACTAATAACATGTGGCAATCTGCAGTAGTCTTCTTTAAAGAAGAAGAAGTGGCGAAAAAGGTTCTTGAAAATTGGAGCATTATTATTGGGGAAGACTCAATTAGAGTAACACAAATAGATCAAACAATTGATTATCTCAAGTCACGTGGAGAAAATGCAGCCAGAGTAATTGGCCTTCCCTATGGTATGACAGGTAGAGAATTATTTCCCAAAGTTAAACAAATTGGTGCAAAAACGTGTTATATGCCACGTACTAGACAGAATAGACGGAAAAACGAAGCAATCATCTCGTTCGCAACAAAGGAGGATTTAGACAAAGCTTTCACTTTTAAGTGGGAAACAGAAGCGTTTAAAATCGAGATTATTGACTTAACAATCAAAACATGCCACAGATGTAAATCGACGGAACATTTGGCAGCAGCATGCCAAAGAACACTCAGGGACAAAGAATTTAAGATCAAATCAGCTGAGAGGTTAGAAAAATTCGGTCCAATGTATAAAAAACATAACCCAAAGTATTTTAATATCCTCAGCAAACAAGTTAGTGGGAAAACATACGCAGAAGCTACAAAAAATAAAACAAGTAAAATTTATAACACCAAACCATCAGAATCTGAAAATGTTAGATTAGATAGAATTGAAAAACTACTATTAGAAATTTCCAATCGTCTAGATAATTTAGAATCACACGTATGGCAACAAGCAGAACAATATTATGAAAATATCGACGTGGATGATGAAATGGAAGAAATATCAGAGGACGAAAGTACAAAACCAATAGATAATAATAAAAAACAAGAAATTACATCTGAAAAAGAGGTTACAACAACAAGACGAATATTAGACGCAGTTCAACAGATTATGGGTAGACTCGAAATGTTAGAACAAAAAGCGAATAATAATAATCACAACAATAAGTCAAATGATGAAACAAGTTCAAGTAGAGGTTCCTCTAGTGTGAGACAATAATTCCCCCCAATTTAATATAATTTTTATGAATAACAACAATATAAATAATAATAATAACCAATATCAAGATAATAATAATTCGAATACTCTTAAGGGGAAAAATAAAGAAACAAATGTACCCGTAACAAAAGATAGGGAAAAAATATTTCGTAATAATAAAATTAATAATATAATAACCAATAATCAAAATATAAACAATAACAATACTGAAATAAACATTAACATTAAAGACAATGATAACTCCTTTTTTAAACTAGCAACACACAATGTAAGAGGCTTTAACGATTTTGTTAAGCGTAACCTTTTTTATAATTACATTAAAAATAATAGAATAGATATAATGGGCATATCAGAAACTAAATGTAGTGAAAACAAAGAAAAATGGTTCATGGATGATAAAGACAAATTTAGAATACACTGGTCATCAGGTGGGGCTGGATCTGGAGTAGCTTTAATTTTTTCGAGGGAACTCAACAAATATGTATGTAATGTCAAAAAATACAAGGGAAGAGCAATTTCTGCAGATTTATTTCTACCAAAAAAGAATAAAATGCGTATCATACAAATATACTTATCGAGTAGGAAAAAAGAAAACAAAGAGGTCATTTTACAAATCGAAACCTGGATAGCGCAAGCACAAAAATATAACAATTATAAGGTAATAGTCATGGGAGATTTTAATTCAGTCCCATCCCCTAACATAGATAGAAATAATAATAGTCAATCTGTTTTACCAGAGAGTGATATTTTTCCACTGCTCACTGGAAAGAACTTAGTAGATAGTTATCGCTTGACAAATCCAGACAATAGTGGTTTTACATGGAAAAGGGATAACTCCTTCGAACAAAGTAGAATCGATATGATATGGATACCACAAAAATGGGGCAACAAAGTTGAAAGATGCTACTTAGATGATTTGCAATTGGTTACCGACAGTGACCACAAACTCCTGGGAATATCAATTAAAAAAGTTTGGAGAATAAAAGGAAACGAGGAATTTCATATTAATACAGGCCCACAATATAATATGAAATTAATGGATGAAGAAAAATGGAAAAAATTTTCAGAATATGTACAGAAGAAAATTAAGATGTCTACCCTCATAAATAGAATGGAAAAGAACAGCATAAACTACAATTTATTAAATAAGCTATGGAAAACGCTTAAAAATATAATGATTGAAGCTGCTAACCATGCAATACCAAAAAAGAAATTCAAAAAATTCAATAAAACCATTAATAAACATGTATTAGAAAGTGTCAAAAAAGCTAAATCTTGTAATAAATTGTTTCATTTTGTGAGACAAGAAAGAGCCCATTCAATGGTATATATTAAATCACAAGAAAAATTTAAAAAAGAAGTTCGTAAACTTTCCATTTTAAAGTTTGGTATTGATAAATTAATACAAGAAAATCCGTCCCGGGACGAATTCTTGAAGACAATTCGCGAACAAAGTCTTAAATTTCAAGCAGCGGCAAGAGCAGAAAAAAGGTTAGATACAACAAGACGTGTTCAGAAGGCCGTAGAAAAACGATGGGAGGATTTAAAGGATAACAAGAAACGAATGATTAATAATATTCTTGATAAACCTAAAAATTCAATTATTATGGATCGATTAATTGACAAAGATCAAAATGGAGAAATTAATATTATAACCGACAGTATAGATATTAAAGAGAAAGTACACGAACACTTCCGTCAATGGACAAGGAAAAGGACTACAAATATACAACTAATGGATAAATGGAAAAAATGGTATGAACCGATACCTACAATTAATTTTAGATGGTATAACTCGCTACTCGAAGAAGTTAATACTAGCGAGCTGGAAGAAGTGATTCGTCTACTACCTAACAAGAAGGCACCAGGCCAATCAGGAATACAATACGAGTGGTTTAAACACTTACCGGAAAACGGCACTGAGGTCCTCAGAAATATAATCAATATGGCCATCGAACTTAATGATATTCCAACAGAATGGAAATATGGATATATATATCCTATACCTAAAATGACAGAATGGGGACATGACCTTAAAATTACACGACCTATAACCCTTCTAGAAACAGGAAGAAAAATCTTTATGAAAATTATAAACAACAGGCTTTCAGTAATATTCAGTAACCATAAAATTCTGACGCCACACAACTATGCTGGCCTCCCAGGGGACGATACTCAAAGTCCTATACATGTGATAAATAATATAATGGAAGATGCGAGAGCTAAAGGAAATGAACTCTGGCTAATGTTCCAGGACATGAGTAAGGCTTTTGACTCAGTTAATTCCGATAGCCTATCAGAAGCGTTACGACGAATTAAAATCCCAACGGCATTTATTATCTTAATCAAGAATCTTTTACAAAATAGAGAGAATATGGTCATTACTACACATGGAAATACAGCGGCATATAAAGTAGAAGACGGAATAGATCAGGGAGATATCCTTTCACCTATCCTATGGCGAATCTTTTATGACCCATTAATAAATCGTATAGCAAGTTCAAACCTGGGATATAAGATGAAACAAGAGTGGGTTAGTGATTTAAAAACAGGAAAAGAAGACTGCTTACAAACTAAGATAGCAGTGGCGGCTTATGTGGACGATACAAATTGGTTCGCCCCGTCAAAAGATAAAATGGAAAAAATGCTTGGTATTGCCAACGAATTTTTTGAGATGAATGATATAGCAATTAACAAGAATAAGTCATATCTCATTGTGATTAATTCAACTAACGAAGAAAGGGAAATGGGAGTTAGGATGGGTGCGGATATCCTATATCCAGTAGACAGAGATTTCCCAGTAAGGTCACTGGGTGTACACGTAACGGAGACCGGTTCAAAACGCTTCCAAAAGGAACGAATGAAAAAATTGTCAGATTATATGGCATATATTATGAGAGGAAAACAAATAACAGATAAACAGGCAATCTATATCTTTAATGCTGTGGTAATGCCAATGTTAGAGTATAATTTAAATGACATGGTCTTAAATGAAAATGAGTGTAAAAGGATTACAACTAGTTTTTTGACTATAATTAAATATAAGGCATCTTTATCAGCCACAATACCTAACGCTGTGATATATGCGAAAGAAGGATATAATGTTTTTAACTTGTGGGAGCGACAGCTTCAACTACATACCAATAATTTACTTAATAGATTTAATAATAAAAAACTGTTAGGTATAACGACTAGAATAAGATTACAACACCTGCAGAATTTGTTCTGGTCTAAATCTTTGGTGACGGAAACATTAGAAATTTTTAATACACCTAAAAATCAGTCCCTAATTAATGATATCCTAAGGATATGTAAAATTAACGGCTTTACCTTCAAACTATCCGAAAACATTAAAGAAAGTATAATTATTAAAGGAGGTAATGTGACTATAGAAGAATTATTATTAGAAAACGACTGTTACTTTCAATATAGGAGGGGGCTGCGTCAACGAAAATTAATGTTTCTGGAACAGTTATCTTCCTACGATTGCCAACGGCTTTTACATTGGCAAGAAATAACAAATAATGAGCGAAAAGGACCTAAGCCAGGATGGTTTAAACTAATAGAAACGAAATATATTTTAAATAATATAAACAGACATTTTACAAATAATCAACTGGCGAGTCGAATGGAAGTAGGTTTCAATACATGTTCGTGGAATCTGGACCGAATAATTGAAGATATAGGATGGATAGCTACCCATAAAGAAACGAGTCCAAAACCAATACTGGGAAAAAAACGAAAAGTTGTAAATAAACAGGAGTTTATAGCTCAACATTATTATAAGGAAATAGACTCTAACGCCGCTGAAAAGTCAGTGCTAATCAAGTGCACTGGATGTGAATGTGGCAACCCAGACTTATCACAACATTTGGCTGACAAAGATGTATGTCTTTTCAAAACTGGGAAAACACAAACGGTAGAAATAAATGTCATTAAAAGTAAAATTTCTTTGAGAAATACTCCAGACAGGGGAAACAAGATACGTCTACGTTCAGAAATGGGAGCAATCAACGAAGGATTACAAACCATTGCCAACAATACAAAAAATTTGAATTCAAATCAGAGAAAAGCAACTGCCCAGTCAACCTTAAACAACAAATATATCGATAAGGGAGCAATGGTGGAAAAATATGCTAACTTCTGGAATAATTGTGAAATTCAAGAGAAACTTGATGAAATTCGAGCGGACTATGCAAACTATAAAAACATTATAGTATATACCGATGGCTCGATGACATCAGAATTACAGCAAATAGAAAATATACCATACATAATTAAAATCATGGGATGTGGTTGGGTCATGGTTGGAGAAAAAGGGGAAAGGAAAGTTTTCAAAGGAAGAGTAGAAAACTTTGCTTCATCAACTAGAGCAGAATTAATGGCTATCTTAACAGCGGTTTATGCAACCCCGAGAGATTCAACACTTACAATACATACTGATAGCCAAGCATCTATTGATGCTATTAATAAAAGCGATAAGGAAATAATAAAAACACAGAGGAAACTTAACAACTGGACAATAATCATGGCAATTCATGAAATTACAATAGCACAAAAGATAAATCTTAACTTTATTAAAGTGAAGGCGCACTCAGGTATCGAATTAAATGAAATAGCAGATACCCTTGCAAAGGAGGGACAATTGGAAACATTATGTTCTCCAAATTTACAACAATTAGCTTTAATAAATGCAATTCCTTGTTGGAACTCCTTCCCCATAGAAGAACCAATACGTAAATTCACAAAGAAATATTGTGCGTCGAAGTTTTCCTGTAAATGGAGGCTTCTAAATAGAAATACAGAAATCATAACCGATGAAAAAAATCTTTTGATTAATTGGGAAGCTACGTGGAACTTGACGTGTAGGTCATACATTAAACGACATCATACAGACAACGAAGATAATAATAAACGTACATTCAATATTAAGATGATTAATAATGAGTTACCAACTTTACAAAAAATGAAAGTCCGATATCCATTAATATACAAGGATGATATTTGTATTAGATGCAACTTACGGACAGAAGACCAGTCACATATCTTTACATGCGAAAATAACTTAGTATCAATGGAACTATGCAGAAATAAACTTATCTCACTAATTGTCGACACCATTAGAAATAATGGCACATATGTGCTGACAGATACTATTAAAGATAATTTGAATAGACTTGAGGAATTTAAAATCAAAGACGCAGAACCATATAGAAATAATCAGGAGATAACCTTTCTGGATATAATCTATGGGTTAATTCCATATTCTTTAACCAAGTTAATTCACTCCATAACCAGAAATAAAGAAGAGACAAATAAATTAACCCAAGACATATTCGACAGATTCAAATCCTTCATCAGGAAAGAAATTTGGATTAAACGATGTAAAGCGGTAAAAGAATGGGAGCGTAACAATGGAATTAAAACACGTGGGGGTAAAAAGTCTCGAGCCGGTGGGTGTGATTCATCGGTTGATACAACCAATACAAACAATATAAACAATACAACTATAAATGATAATAATAATAATAATAATAATGATAATACTAATAATAATAGTGAAATAGCTAAGAAACAATCTAAAATAGATATTTTTAATAACATTATCAGTAAATACATAAGTAGGTTAATACATTTTAATACCAATTGGGTAGAGGTATATAAAATAGGTTGTTCGGCAGGGCCTTAACATGCTGAGGGCAAGTGCTCTTGTCAGGCGGTAGGTTGCAGGTTCGTCTCTTATGAGTTAGCCTGAGTCTCATCTTTTCAATATATATTAGGATAAGTTGTGTATTCAATATTATGTACTATATATAATGTAGAAGACTTTCTCTTTTTCTAATTAATAAATTTGAGGCAAGGCCTCGCTGGAACAAAAAAAAAAAAATATTATATATTATATATTTGTGATAAAATTAATATTTTTCCTTTTCAAACTAATATTTGTGTAAATAATAATAATTTAAAATTCCTGGAACTTTTTAAATGCATCTGTTTTTAATATCTCTTTTCTCTCATATATATACTTATCAATAGTATATAAAGAAATTTCTGCTATAATTCCCATTATAAAGAATACCAAATAAATAAAAATATAATTTATTTTTAAGAAAACAGAAAAACAAAATATTCAATAATTTATAACTATATAATATATAATATAAAAATAATATTTTATAATTATATAATACAATTATAATGTAATTAAAATATAAATTTATTAACAAAATATTCATTAGTTCTATCAAATCGTGGAATTATATGAACTATATCTTCAATTGCTTCAATTTCTATAAAATGATACAATTCTACTAATTTCAATAAAGGACAGCCATAAACAAATGGAATTTTTTGTGACTTAAAATCATACCATTGTACAAGTGCAAGATGCAATGGTAATTTATTTGGTAGTATTATTTCCGTTATTAATAATGTCTAAATAAATAAAAAGTATATTTAATTACCTTCTATATTTATTATAACAATCATTTAAAGTTATATTGTAATTTGCATATACCTGTGCATAACAAGTTCCACTATCTGACAGATATTCAGAATGTTCCTCACTATTCATATTAACAGAAATATTACTAAACCATGGCCGACCATGAAATTTATTTGTTGCACGTAAAATGGCACCATTTTTTAATATAACAGATCCAAATATCTTTATTCGACATTTTGTAAAAGTTATATCAAGCATAGCAAGATACAAATCTAAACACTCACTAAAATTGACAAAACCTTTTATCATATTTTCGTTTAAATTTGGGTTATCTTTATTTTTGTCAATAATAGATTCTGAAATGTCAAAGTCAAATAATTTTGCAGTATATGTGAAAGATACCGGAGTTTTAGTTTTCTTTTCCATACGAGCTTGCGAAATAATTGCTCGGCGTCGAATCTAAAATATAGAAATCATTAAGTTTTGAAATATTATTTAATAAATAATTATTTTTACTTACATTTTCCATTATTTGCTTCTCTATATCTTTCTTATTACTAAGACGATATGGAATTTTTACATAAGTTTTATGCAAACTTTCATATGTCTCAGTTGTATATCCATTTATTGCTCCATATTCCTGAATTGTATCAACAATATGATAAATCCATGAGTGTAACTTTGGAAATTTCATATCAGAAGGTGAATATATTTGAAATAATTTAATAAATAGATCAGCCCATTCATTGATTGCTATCTATATTATTGATAAGATAATTAGCATTGTTATTTTCACTTAATTAATATATATTAATAAATTACCTGGAATTTTTTCAAATCACTTTCTTTAAATGTTTCCAACCTACTCAGTAAATACATTTCATTCCATTTTACATAGACTTCTGAAAGATCCTTATTTAATAAATTATCAACCACAAATACCATCACCTTCATGATATCTCTATATTCATTTGCAGTTAATCGAGCAATAGTTTGTAATCCTCCTGTAAATATTTTTAATCCCGGGTACCTTGGAATAGCTGCAATTCTCCGGCTCATTTTATCCATTAAAGATCTTCCTAATAATAATTTGGTATACTCTATTTGGTAATGGTATAAACCTAAATCTAAGTGATGCATTCTATCAATTACAGTAGCTGCATAAATATTTAAATTTCTAAATTTAAACAGATAAAGTTAGATATATCTATAAAAAAAATATATAAATAAAAATATAAAAATAAAAACTTACGGAATATTCCAAAAGTAATTTTCAACCTGTTCTAAACTTTTTGAATGACCAATACCATTGTTAAAATATTCCATCATATTTTCATGGTTACGGAGTATCACTTCATCTTTTCTTGTATTTATCAAATTTTCCTTCTGTACTAGACAAAAATGACAAGGATAATTTGAATTGGCTGATTTATAAATTAATGAAAAAGTACATGCTTCTGGCCAATCGCAGATTATAATAGATATTTTCGGATAAAACCAGATATTTTCATCATTTATTTTTAAATCTATACCATTATTACTATCTTTGAGTAATGGATCTAATAGAAATTTAATAGAATTATGAAAAGTTTCACGAGCTATCTTCTTAAATTCAGAAGATTTTTTTTCTTTATCAGTTTTAGCAGATAAAATTGGAAGATATCCCAATAATTGTTTAGCATCTTCCTTATTTCTTCGCCACGTGGGAATGTTTCCAAGAGATATGTAAATAGGATGTAATGAACTTTTTCCTAATGTATCCGTTGTAGTTGCATCTGAATAAAGGATAAGAGATAAAATACATGCTGCAGATGGAATTGAGGATTCCGTATATTTCCACCAATTTCCAGAATTTTGTTCTCCATATGATTTTTCCTTTTCAAACTAATGTTATATAAATAATAACAATTTAAATACTTATTAATATAATGTAAGGAATTTATAAATACACTTTACCTCCAAATCTTCATATCGAAATATAAAATACTGAGATATTTCAGGAATTGATAAAAGGTTTTTAATACAATTTTTAATAGGACGATAATAAATAAAATATTCTTGACTATTATAAGTAAGTATACAATATTTAGAATAAGATAATTGTGAAATATTCATTCTTTCCATGAATTTTCGTCCAGCTTCGATATTTTTTGGAAGAGGTGATAATTGAGATAAATTTGAATGTTTGTTAAAGAATTTTATAATTGCGTTTCCAGCTTTATTACTAAGATTATTCTCTATAATAAGTGTCATTAAGTCAGCATATGCCTCGTTTGGAAATTCTTTAATATTTTCAATTTCAGGTTCTTCTTTATAACTTTGTAAATTTTCAGATAAAATGTTATCAAAGTTTTCATATTCTTCTGGAATGTTACTAATTTGTGACATCCCATCAAAAGAAATATCACCAACATAATTTGAATCACTTTCATAATTTTCATAATGGTAAAAACTTTCAGATAATGGTGATAAGTTTTCTTCTTGAATATTTTGAAATTCTTCTATACTATCTAATGACATTTCATTTGTACTCGAGGTCATATCTAAAATATCATTAATAGATTCTTCTGTACTTGATTCGATATAATTAATGCATCTATTAACATGTTGAGAGTATGCATTTCGAGTCGAAAAATAATGATCACAATATTCACATTTATAAGACATTATTTTAAAAGTTTTTTTCAAAAAGTATTGGAATTATTTAATTAATTTTAAAAATTAGTAATAACATTTCAACAAACTTTATGTGTTTAAATATCTTTTTCAGAATTATTTTATTGATATTTTATCTTTTTTCAGTAATTAAGAAATTTTTTCTTTATTTTACAATTTTCTATACTACTAAAACATTCATCATTTGTAATATAAAAAAATATCTTATTTATATCATATTTGTAAAAAAAAAGAATATATTCTTTTCTGTAATCAAAGAAGAAATTAAGAAAATTTTAAAATTTTTTCTTTGTTTTACATTTTCCATATTATTAAAACATTTGTGATATAAAAAAAAATATTTTTACTATACAGATATATACGTTACTTTCTGTGATTAAAAAAGAAAAAAAATATTTTTTTCATAAATATAATACAAAATTGATGTAACACAAAAATGATCTAGTTTATTTTATTTGTTTTGTTTATTTACACGATATGCCATATTCTTCCATATTCTTCCATATTCATTCACTCCTACTTTTCTTTTTCATTATGCTCTTTACTCCTATTTATTCATTATACACTTTACTCCTACCTTTTTTTTTTATTTACTTGATATGTTATATTCTTCTATATTCATTATATTTATATTCATTCTTGCCATATCAATTATGTTTATTTCTTTGCTCCTATTTTTTTTAGATTTCGTAAACCTTTTTCACAAACCTTTTCTTTTTTTTCAGAACATTTCAAAAACATTTTTTTTTCTAAACACTACAAGTATTTTGATTTTTTTTTCTTTACTTTTATTTTCTATGAATATTTCAAACGTATAAAACTTTTTTACATTTATTTTTTGAGTATGTAAAGATAAAAATAAAAAATGTCAAAATATTATGAATAAATTTTATAATAAATACTTTTATTCAATTATTTATTTATAAAAAAAATGTAGAAATATGAGCAACCTCAACAAATTATTTTCAAAAAAAAGTTCCTCTTCTCGTTCCACTTCACATCCCTTCACAAGTTCTTCCTCTTCTCGTCCCACTTTGCATCCCTCTACAAGTTCGAATCAAGCCACAACAGAAAGTGAAGACTTGCTTCCTCGAAATAATAATAATGGTATAATATTAATTATTTAATTATTTCGAAGAAAAACTATGATAATTATTCTTTTTTCATAGTTTTAAATAGAATACTTTCGCAACAAAATTCGTTTCAAAAAAGTATGGAGGTACTTCTTAAAAATCAAGAAACTATACAAGAAGATATTAAAAAAATTAGGGAAGAAATTGCTATTCTCTCATATGACAAAGACAATTTAAATGTTAGTAGGATGTAAATTTTTGAGATATTCTACAAATATTTGAAATACTAATATTTTTTATAAATAGGCTATAATTTCTGATACAATAAAAGACTTGATGAAAAAAAAAATATATCCAAATCCTGCTGAAATGAAAGCTGCAATTACATTTTTTTTTAAAAAAACTGATGATGAATTTTTTTCAACCTTCAGTAATACTGGATGGAATAATTACTATAACAAAAAAATACGAAAGAATGTAAGCAAATTTATAAATTTTTATTTTCATCTGTATACTTATTTTTTTAAAAAACCGTGATGGAATATAAAAAAATACAAAGTAGTGTAAGTAAATTTAGAAATTTTTATTTTTGTCTTTTACTTATTTTTTTTTAAAAAAATTTGTAGTTAACTGAAAAACTGCGAAGTCAACGTAGTACAGCATGTTCGCAAGTAAAAACTGCTATCTTCAAAGTTTTTGCAAACAAGGGCTTACCTCCTATAAACAATACTGCAAAAGCCACCGAGATTACCATGTGGAAAAAGAAGCCAGTTGTATTAAGGTGTTTTAAAAATTTATTTACAGAAATTAATGGAAATGCAGAAGAATCTGAAACATATATGGAGAGAATCATAAAGGATGCATGGCCTAAAAAAAAAAATTTATCTGATCAACAAATTTCCTGGGCGATATTAATAACCGAAATCTTTCTTGATCCTAAGAATGAATATATAAAAATAACTGAAGAAACAATATTACCAATTCTTGAAAAAAATAAAGTAAATTTTATATTTTGTCAAAGATTTTTAAAAAATTTCAAAAATTAACAAACTAATAAAATATATATAATATAGGAAAAAATCAAAAATAAAGAAATTTTTAAATATTCTCCTCAATCTTCTACTCCCGGATCTCCTGCTCCCGCTCTTGAAAGTTCTCCTGTTCTTGAAAATTCTTCTGCTCTTGAAAGTTCTCCTGCTTCCGAAAGTTCTCCTGCTCCTGAAAGTTCTCCTGCTCTTGCTTCCGCTCCTACTTCCGCTCCTGAAAATTCTTCTGCTTTTGTTCCCACTTTTAAAAATTCTTTTGCTCTTGCTTTAGTTCCTGAAAGATTTTTTACTTCTGAAAGATTTGAAAAATCTCAATCTCTATCTGAAGAGCCTCCAGAATTAGAAGGTTTTCCAATTACCTCAAAATTACATAAAAAAATTAGTAAAAAAAGAATTAAGGTCAAAAACCTACGAAGTAAAAATAAAAAAATAAAAATAAAAAAAAAGGATGAAGATGAATATGAAGAAGATAACGAAGAAGATGATGATGATGATGATGATAATGACAATAACATTAGTGAACAATAGAATAAATTTTATATATTTCAAAAATTTTTGTAAATATTAAAATTAATAAAATAATAATAATTATAAATATAATATTAAAATTAATAAATAAAATAATAATAATTATAAATATGATAAAATAATAATAAATTATAAATATAAAACAATTTGTTTATATATAATTGTAACTTATCAAACCTTTTCGAAAAAATTGAATTTTTTTACAAAATTTTCGGAATATTTGCAAATTTTTATTACAAAAAATTCTGGAAAACTGTAAAAATTTTTAGAATATTGCGAATTTTTTTTCCAGAAAATTTCGGGAGTCTACAAAACTTTTGAAAAATAATCGAGCTGAAAAATTTCCGGAGATTTTTGCCTTTTAAAATTTCCTGATGTATTTGAATCATTTGCTTTTTCACGAAAATATGTATCTGCTTCTGTTAGTTTCATTTCAAAAAGTTTCTTTGAAAAATTTAACACTTTCATTAACTTCGTTTTCATTTTTTGTTTTTTATCAATCATTCTTATCATATCTTGCCGTTTCAGCTTAAGATCGAAAAGTTACGAATTAATTAAGTTTATTTATATTATT